AGTGTGGTAGATGTCCACCAACGTTTCTGAGGTCACAGGCTTAGAGTGCTGTTCGTTAATGGGAATACACGCCACATATTTACCAACTTAACATGGTTGAAAGTCACCCTTACGGTTTATAAATCTACCCACAAATACAAATGTTAATAATGCCAGTAAACTTGTGAGAAACTGAAGATCATGTGTATTATGGATAATTAGGTAATGTTCCTTTATCCTGTAACACTATTAAATTACAAAGGTTATTTGGCTTAGAATGCAAAATGTTATGACTGTTACTAGAGGTTAGTACGGAGAAATGTGACTTACTGACAACCAATCTTACAGAGGTTTCAATATGAACAACACCTATTTAAAATATAGTTTATTTCTAAATGGCTGCAATTAAATTACATCCTGTAACAAATGTATTTATAATACTTTCAAGCAAAAATATTTTAATGTCACATATTATGTTCCTCAATATGTTACATTATTTCTCTCTTTCCTTAGTCTTACAAGCTGATGAAAATTTTGAAGTAATTTTATTTTAAACCTTCCATTTAATTTAGTAATGTAATGCAATGACTTGGTACACTTCCTGCAGGGTAATAGTAGTGGCCCTTAAAACTGTTCATTGTTTCTTATTCTGCATATATTCTCAGATCTACCAATCAAACCACAAGAATTTCTAATAGCACCATGGTCCAATACAATATGTGTACTTATGAGGACTAAGTATTCTGTCCTGAAGATGGAGACTGATATTTTCTCAAGAGAAATGTAAAACCAGTACACTATAAACCTGTATTTCAACCCCACAGACACGAAAGTTTCAACAAACCACTGTGAGAGCAGTAAGACTTCAAATATAGTGTTATCCAAAAAAACAACAACAAAAAATACTATATAGAGTAAGCAAACCAACAACTATTAACACTATAAAAAGACACTATTGCCATATGCGTTTCGACCTCAAGAGGTCATCACCAGTGGCTCAATTTCACAAGACTCCAGACATTTATACTACAAAGTTAAAATATTACAGTAACCTGTACCAAATAATGGCCATAGATTAACAATTATGACCACAAATTTAATCTGAGGTCAATGAACACAATTTCACAAAATATGAGGATTTCAACTGCATTGTATTATTGAAGATTTGGGAGGGGATGCAACCCCATAGGCAAGAAAACATTCTTCTGTACCTAACAACATCCACACATACTTCATGTCTAAATTTTAGACCAATGTGTTAAAAAGGTAATATGGAAAAATTTTCTTAAAAATCTCTACTTCCATTAAGTGGATATGCAACGATGACTGTATGTTAATACCAGTGTTTCTGATAAAAAGTGTGATTAAAGCTAGACCACTATACACCATGTAGGTGCTCAGGGGGAGAGATGGTATACTTCCTACTCGTTCTCAACCTTGACACTAAATAGAGCTACACTTTACCCCAGGGGAAAGGATCCCCAGTACCCACTGCACAGGAGGCTGAGTGTACCCCTGAGCCAGTCTGGATGCAGAGGCTAGAGGAAAAATCCTTTGTCCCTATTGGGGATTGAACTCCAATCATCCAGCCTGAGCTACCCATCTCTTCCATTTGGTTGGTATTTTAAAATATTTTTTCATTGGAATTCTGTCAAATTGTCTGTTATTTTTTATTTCTTCTGTATTGCCATAACAATGCATACTACTACCTCCTTCTTCAGGGTTGATGAAATGGAAACAATATGTTACTCTGAAACCTTGGTATCTACTCAATGACATTACAACCCAGAAGACCAACATCAACATTTTCACCACCATGAGTACCTCAAATCTCATATTCGTATGTACTGTTCTATGAATCCTGTTACTTGTTAAATTTACGGTTGTCATTCTCTTTCAGAAGACCATCATAATCACCATAACCATCACTGCAGTACGGTGAATATGCCTTAACAGAAGTGCAGATGCTAACAGGTCGACTGTGTCCCCCATCCTGCCGATGATAAATGAACTAATATGGATCAGCGACGGAATGATACTGAAGGGTCTCGAAGAAAAATATATGTCAGTACTCCTATATCCTCTACACATCCCACTGGACTGACCTAGCATTAAATCAAAGTGACCACAGTGAGAAGCTGGCAACTGCCTGAGCTATGGCATGGCCTCCATCACAAGATAAATTATATCTCAAACAGTTAAAAGTATTAATCTGTTTCAGTACTGTATAATGAATATGAGTATTGTAGAACATCCTCAGCTATGTCCAAAAGGATGTGATCATTTACAAATACCACACTATCAATGTTATAATTTCTGCTAAATGCAAAGCTTCAATGTCTGGTCAGTCTCCATTTCTGTATTATTTTGTTGATATGTATGATGAATAGTAATGGTGAGATTATTGCCTTGCCTCACACTTGTTTATTTCTTTCCATGCTATGAAATTATAAACACAACTAACAGCAGTAAAAATGAAGGTGACATATGCAGGACATATTCTTCTAATCAATTGATTTAGTATACTACCTTCTATAAGATACAATATATAAGTATATGTATTGATTTGCATTTCCTTTCAGTGTCTTTTAAAAAACTGTGCTTCAATTGCCAGTATCAATTACTACAATATTTACTCATCTTTCAAATGTCTATAATTCTCGCTTCCATATCATAATTATTTTCTTTAACAGAAAGAAAATAAATGTGATTTGGATTCAGATATAAATATATCACATTAAAGTTCTTCACTCTATTTAGACAGAAATATTTTTTTTCAAGAGCTTTGTTACATATTAATAAGATTAATATTTTATGGCATGTAAAATGAGTTTTGTATAATCAACTGTTTTAAAGAAAGTTAACAGCTTGATCTGAGTGTCATGTGAAGTAAGGGTTATAATTTATTAATTCTGAAACAAAAGTAAATCTACCTAGCAACTTTCAATGTAAACATTCCCTCCTTAATACCAAATTTCATAAAAATCTGTCAAGTAGTTATTTTTGGAAATGAAATATGCAGATCAGCACTACTTCTTGATCAATTAAGATTAACATCATCTCTTGTGGGTGGGAATAAAACATCTATGACAATGTCCCCAGTATGTTCAGTAATTCAACTGAATCTTGCATGGTGCCACATGACGAAGTGATTTTATGCGTATGAATCATCCTGATAGCAAGAATGACATTAAAATAAATTATACACTCAACATTCTGATATTGTATCTATACCAACACCAGGAGCTAAAACTGTTTAATGAAAATATTTTCATATTTCCCAGTATTAAACCTAGCTGGTATATTAGAGTATTTATTACAAACAGGAATATATAAATATTTTTAGAAGGGGAAAGCTCAATGTAATTGTGTACATAACAGGTTGGGACGATAAACAGAAAGACATGTATGTAATGTCTGCCCCTGGAACTTGACTTCCAAGATGAAAAATATTAATGACTGTGTAGAGACATTTAACTTATCCTAATGTTAGGAACTTGATATTTGCCTACGATGATTGGATGTGGACCTGTGCAGATCTACTCAAAATGGCTAGGTTACTTAACACTATGTTATCGACTCAGGTTGCTCACATAGATATGTTTAAGTTCTATTTTGGGTGTGTTTTCAAACAAGGCAGCTCGATTTTGTCCTTCACCCTTCTTCACCCAGTGGCCATACACACGGAAAGCACAGCCATCAATCACCTGAAAGAAAATAGTGCATCTGGATTCAGTTTTCATCCAAACAAGATGAAATATTTTCATACTCTTCACTATTGTTTAATACTTCTTTTATAGTGAGTAAGAATCTCGTTAATTTGTTGATACATCTGCTATCTACCACCTGGTTGGAGACTTCCTATTGGTGTGAAACTTTTCCTCCTCATTCTTCATCCCCGATTAGCCCACTACCTGAGACTTCCCTTACTTTAACCCTATATAAATCCCTTCACTTCCCACCAAAGCCACTTCAGCCCTCAAGATGGAGACGGTACGTTTCTCCAATGAGAATACATGGCACGAAACTGAGAACACCTCCATCATCCTCACTGCTATGAAAACCTCAAATAAAAAATGGTATAAATTCCCATTATACCTAGGTTTCCAATTTGTTACACAAAACTTAAAACATATAAATAATCAAGTACTAACCACATTCCAGCACAACTGATCTTAGGAGAACAGAGAATGTTGCATCCACAGATTCACAATTTACACACTGTATTTGGCATAAGGAAGAATTACCACAGCACAAAAGGATTCAAATATTGTATCAGTTTATAAAGTAGAAGATAAGCACAGAAATCCCACTCTCATCAATTTCACACAAAATTTAATTAACAAAACACTTAAATAATGGATTACATTTTTAAGGCTTAGCATTTTTCATCTCAATGATCATACTGTGATGACGACACCCAAAGTAACAGCTTTGACGATTAATGTGGTCAATTTCACCCATACTTAATTTAAAGATGGCAAACACTATCACTGCATATAAAATCAAAGATACATCTGCAAGCTTCCTTAAATGTGGGGGGACTTTATAAACACTAGCTAAGGATAAACTCTCTATTATACTTAATCTATCACTTACAATTCTCAACAAATCATTAATCTTCTATAAACCATATGGAAAGAGCTCACCTTTCTGAGCACCTTAATGCGATAAGGATCAACCTGAGCAACTTCCACTGAAAGAGGTTCTGGTGTGAAACGCAATCTCCTGATACGCACCATAGCACGTACACAAAGAATTCCATACTGGAACATCTTGCGGGCATTGAAAGTACAACTCTTCATCTCCTGCAGAACACAACTTGAATTAACAACTCACAGACAAGTCCTCAAAGATAGACCAACAGATACAGATGTTAAATGCACAAAGCATTAGTACAGGAGCTACTGGCATTTGCTGTCATGGAAATAACTGTGTTACTGGTGTTATGATTACCACAATTAATAAACACCAAAATAAACACACTGGATTCTGCACCTGTGATATCACTTTAATCCAAATAATACAGCTGACAAGGGAGAAACAAAGAGACAAAATTCTCATTACAACAAAATCAATTCATTTCTGCATTTTGTTGAGACATACATGCAATAATTTAACACTGACTCCACAGCAAACAAACATACTTACAATCATCCCAATATTGTAAGTCAACCTCAGCAGCAATAAATATATTCACAATCACTAACCCAGACATAAACAGCAGACTCAAGTAACAGACCCTGAAAAGGACATCATATACTGCCAAACAAAGGACATGATCCTAAGCCAGTTCAATTCAGTTCACAACCTTACAACCTATTTTCATAATCTCCATCTTCACTGTACCCTTTCTGACTATATCTGTTTTCTATGTTTGTTTTTATTTCCCCCATCTATGCAAGCTTGTAACCCCCTCAATTTAGTGATACTAACAATACTGTACAAGTATAATCACAAAGACCCACATTTCATACATTTATTTTATTTTGTATTTAGATCACCACGTTTAGATCCATATATTTATTTAGTATATACATTAAAATATACTGAATCCTGCCAAGAACAAAACTTGTACGAAATATAAACCAGTCTTCTTCAAAAATATTTATCCTGTCCCAAAGAACAAAGAGTGATATCTGCTGTAAAAATGTCTCTAATAGCAGGAAAATGACTGATGCATATGCCTTTTATTGAAACATGTCCTCAAGCTGGGCCTTGCAGAAAATCTCACTTATTTTAAAGAAATAATACTCAGGTGAGATGTCTGCGAACAGCCTGTCATTGATTTACTGTTGTCAGTAACAAAATAAATAAGAAACACAGCTTGGACTTCAAGCCAATCAAAGATAAAAAGTCAAATAAATAAAGTAATATTTAAGGTTCTTATGACAGCAAGTACAAAGAATTCCAGTTTCAGCAATATTCACGAACAAGAGTAGTAATAAAAACGATGGGTTAAAATGACTTTTTATCTTCATACTGATAGCTGCAAAGATTCAAAACAGGCACAACATTGTTTTCAGAGACATCTATAGCGAAGTAGGAGACCTGAATGAAGAAACAACTGACTAAATAAGTAATTGGTCATTTCATCAAAGAAAATTAATCCAAGGACAATGCTAACAGTAACAAAACTTGCTTGATTTGTTTCCAATAAAATTTTGTGTTTTAAAAGCAAACAATGTGTTAGTGGAACACTATAAAAAAAGTGAAATCTGAAAAACGTTCAACAAATTCTAATAAACAGTGACAACTTTAACTAAAACACATAAAACTTGTAAACTGTTATTATAAATAAAAGCTTAGTTAATATAAATTAAACAAATACAAGCTGCACAGTAGGAAGGGATGTACATGAAGTGACAACTTTACACTAAAAATGTCCAAGTTATATAGCTTTGTGAATTCTGTAATAAATGCTTATATGCGCTATGGGTATATAATGTGTATTCCTGTATTTGTAGTTTCAAATGGAAACCTGTGCAAAATACAAGATTCACTGTACTTGCAATTTTTTACTCTTTCTTCAGCAATAGAGACCATGTGTCACACGAAACCATGGCCATATAAAACAGTGGGCAAATTAACAGTTCTATATAGGTTGCTCACTCTATTGCTTTAGAAAATAAATAAGATGATCATGATAGCTTTATAAGTAAACAATAAGAATTTCCTGAATTTGTGGACATTTAATGCATGTACAAAAGTCTACAGCAGGCTTCATCAGCACTGTAGTACAGAAACAGAGATATTACATGGTTTAAATATGATCAACAGTTACGATCATGAAATGGTTAAATGAAGAAGAACACAAAATTTTCCAAAAATTATGTAGCAATTAGTAATACTGAACATAACCATTAATGCCAAGGGGCTCAGTCCACAAGTCCATTACAGCCTCTCCTTTAAGCAGTCATGTGTTTAAATGTTTAAACAGATGAACAAAACTTATATCAGAGAGAAGATGGAAACACAGTCCATCGAGGTATCAATCAACAACTTCATTAAATGTATTCACATAAAAGAAGATGACTGTGATGTTACAGATAAAAATATGGCTATTCCTGCTATTCTGTGAAAATTATTCTACACCAAGCAGTTATCTGTACAAATGGAAAGACATTCCACTTAGAAATCAAACGAGGCTGGTAGTTATTTCTCTTCACATCAAAAATCAAATGTTTTGATCCTTATCTTAATCAGCTCTGAGGGAGATGTAAATCAACCAATAAACAGGTCATACAATATCACAAAGGTGCTGCATATCTGTGGAACATGGGGTAACACACGATATACGACACACGTAACCCCAGAAGCTGGCATGTCCATGCACAACACTATGTTATGCTCCTCCCAGTGTTATTTACAACCTGCAAGTTAGTAGACACTACAATAAACTGTGTATTACCAGAGCCAACTGTGAGATTCGACTGAGTCGTCTCGAAGAGCCAGACAGGCTGCGTTTCAGTGGGGTTATATCTTGGTCCCACAGCTGAAAAAACATTGCAGATAAAATGAAAGGAAGAGGAGACAACAGTGTTTCACCTTGTTACTTAAAAGTGAGCCACAGGAACATTTATCAGGACTCCATATCAGCACAATTCAGTGTCATGACATAACACTCATAAAAAAATATGACAGATCCTTCATGACATACAAACCTATGTAGCAAAACTCCCTTTCAACAACATATTTTTGGTGACAGAAGTGATAATGTATAATGCAATTTGTTGGTTTATTCATAGGTTATTTAACAATGAACTGCATAGGTCATGAGATAAAATAATGTAAGAATGTGAGAGAAGACAAAGAAATGGTTGATGACTACTCTGAAATATGATCCCAACATTCATTTCAAGGACCTTATGAACATGATAGCCGGAATCAGAATTGCTGTGACCACAAGATTCATGAGTCAAGACATATACCTTAAGCAAAACTGAGAAGGCTGCCTTTGCATTTAGGAGACACTCAGTTTGAATCCTGATAAGGAACCAGGGAACCAGTTATCCTGAGTAATATTTTCTATTGTATCTATTAATCACTGAATATAATACTTGAATAATACTTTCAAAGATGCCATGACTGCTACCTTTCAAAACTTCCCCATATCATATATCTTACTTGAAATTACATAACCACTTGCAGTTGAAGCAATGTCATGAAATAAATTAATGAACAAACAAATCAGTGAGTTAAAAACACTTGGAATAACCTGTAATGTTCTGAATGAAACAGAACTAAAGAAAACTAGACTAGAACATAGCTATTAATGCAGTGCTCCATTCATGTTACTCTTCACAGACCAAATATCACAGACAGAAATTCTATACTGAACATAAAAATTATTTTTCAGTTAACAAATCAAACTTTAGTTCTCCAGTGTTGGTATCTGCGGTATTCCTGTCACACAGAAGGCTCACATAGAAGGTATCACTTGTATAGAATAATAAATTTAATACACACTTCCCAGCTCTACAACAACCAAGCTCAGTATCTGCTTCATGAAGTCAGTGTTATTGCTTTCAAAAACCTGCATTCTTATAGGGATATTGGGAACGACCCGTTCTTCAAGTGCCTGAGCACTGCGGGTCCCAACTTTTCGTTGGCTTGATCTATAGACATTCGGTAGGACTCCTTGGACGAGGGATCGGCCCATCGCAAGGCCTCTACCTGTACACAGGACAGCACAACACAGAAAAACGCAGACAAACATCTATGGCTCGAGTGGGATTCGAACCCATGGTCCCAGCGACCAAGCGGCACAAGGCCCACGCCTCAGACCATGCGGCCACTGCAGACCCATTCTTATAGGGCAAGTAGTTATATACATATTTATAGCTATGTATAGTTTCGCACCTCCTTTTAGTAAGGCAAAATGTAGTGTGCCATCACGTGTCTTTGACAGACAAGGGTGTGCCATGGGTGAAAAATGGTTTTGGAACACTGCATTAGATTACAAGTAAGAGACAGACTCAAAGTTCAGTGGGTACTGTAGGTGGAGTACATTTTAAACTGCATGCCAGAAGTTTCTTGCTGCAGAAGGATGTAAGTGAGAAAGGGAACTGGTTGGTTATTTTAAAATGATGGATGAATATGAATGCAATTTGTTTTATATTAATAGGTACACTTCTGGCTGCATGAAGAGATCAAGAACAAGAGTTATTAACTATAAAGATAGTAAGCAACAACATAAATTTCTCTTCTCTAGGTCACAGATTAATAAACAAATAATATGTACCATTGCTGAAGATATACACACTGACAATATAACTTTAAAATCTGATTTCCTGATAATATAGTCACACACCTTTCTCTGAAATAAGTACAAAAAATACTGCTGAATAGAAGTCTTAGTAATAAGTAAAACAGAACACTCACTTTGGTTTAGTATTAACCTTTTACGATTTTGCAGATGTTTTGTAAAGCTGACAGTGACAAGACAAATACAAATTTATATAACAACTCTGAGATTACAGAAGAATACCTACTACTTGCTACAAATCTTATATATACCTTTAGTATAAAGTTTTAGCTCACCAGTTAACTCAGTTTTAATCTGAACAAGAAACTGCAATGGCACGTTTGATAATAAACATAAATTTAATGATACATGCAATGTCAGTAATTATGTTCAATGTTTCTGTCATCATGTTACTCATAATGCTACCAGCCATTCTCAAGCTGGTTACAGTACTGTCAACTCATTTATTTTCTTTTGAGCATACACTATTATTACTAGAGATTAATACACAAATACGTTCATCTGGTCATCTACTTTGCTGGGGAACACAAGAATACAAATTTGGGACCACAGTGCAACATGGTAAAAATGTGAATCAGTTAGCTTCCATATTTATCAGACTAAGATACATTATGTGTCATGGCACCAGAGAGCCACAAGAACAGAGCACTGCACTACTGGTCAAGATCCTTACCATCATCTGGAAGAATGGATGCTCCAGTGCCTCCTTAATGGTGATTCGCTTCTTTGGGTCCACTACAAGAAGCTTGCGGATCAGATCTTTAGGTGGCTCTGCAAATAACAACATTGCTCCCACATTCACAATGAATCTGCAGTGTGCAGCATTATCATAAATTAAAATTTAATGAACTTCTTCATTCCTAAACACTACTGCCTCCACACAAAAGAACATACCCCAAAACGAAGGCAAATATTTAAAAAGCTGAAATGAGTGTGTTAAGAAATATAATGGAAGAATGGAGGACTGACTATGTGAGACCAAGACATCAGGCTCAAATGCAGGATACAGCAATTAAGAGAAAGGATGAAGATGCAAAGCACTGAATGGAACAATCATGTATCAAGAATGGCACCTGACAGGACTGCATGAACAACACTATCTGGCAGGAGAATGAGTACCTCCATACAATAAATATTTCAGATATAACATGCCATACCTGTTATGTCAGCCCACTCTGGTGTTATGAAGGTGTACTTCCCCTCCATAATATTGCGGAGCATCACCATCTGTTTGCGATGCCAGAATGGAGGACAGCCCACAAGCCTGCAAGAAGAAGGGAAACTCAATGAAATAGACTTGGACAAGGCATCTAAGTAATTTAGTTATGAAAAAAAATTATTGGTCATAAGATTTACAATTTTTCCATGTTCTGAATGCAATGTACTATGATTTTATTTAAGGAATTTTAACTTAATGAATAACACCAGTGTAATATGAAGAGGGCACAATAGAAAATGGACTCAGAAAACCTTGGAATAGCGTTAAATTATTATGGTTGGTTAGTTCTTAGGACACTTAATGACACACTGTACACTGCAGAATACAATGAGATAATGGGGAGATTATGAACAGTAAATTGGAAAGCACTGTGAACTGAAGTAACATGAAAACCACAGTCAGGATAACCAGTCCATCAGCTTGAACCAGTAAGATATGAATATATGCCAAATACATTCATACTGAGCACATGTCCTTTAGCTGTCCAATGTATCTCTAGGTGGGTGGTCAAGAGGAAGTACAGATTCTTGGGTATCATGTCACATACCAACATTAAAATCAATAATGAAACCCCCTACTAAAGGGGAACAAATTCTTTGTACCCCAAACTGAGAAACACCTTAAATGGTGGTTATATCACAATAAAACATAAAATTATTCCTCTGATTATTAAACACTTGCAAATGATATGA